CTCCTTTTGTGGGGCCCCTAGACATATGAAAGACAAGGAGTTCAACAATGTGGATGTAAGGAGATATCTATTTTTCTACATTGCGCACACCAAAGATTGGTGTTCCACCCCTAGTTTGTTTGTATTGTTTTCGGGACCAAACAAAGGCAAGCGTGCTCAAAAAAACACAATGGATGAAGTTAGCAATTTCAGAAGCTTATCAAGCATCTTCTATGGTGCCACATTTGAAAGTTAAAGATCATTCCATTAGAGAGCTGGCTATGTCTTGGGCAGAAAGGGTCAGAGCTTCTGTCCTCCAGATCTGCAAAGCCGCCACCTGGTCTAGCTTCCAAACCTTTGTTATACACTACCGTTTGGATCTGCTCTCCAGCCCGAAACAGGCCTTCGAGAGGAAGGTGCTTCAAGCTGTGGTCCCGCCCTAATTGCATTTGTACTGTATTTCTACCAATATCTTTGATCAGATCAGAACTATACCAGCTTTCACAATAGTATAGTATCCCAAAAAAACGTTAGCAGAATCAGCAGCGTTAGCAGAATCAGCCCCGGCACCTGTGTTTAGCCCCTACGCTTAACCCCCTGGCTCCCCAGCAAGTGCAGTAGATCACGGTCACTTGATACATTGCACACAAAACTGCAGGGTTAGCAAGATCAGGCCTGATCTTTGCTTGCACTAGCAGGTAAATTTCTTTGTATCGGTTCAAACAATTCCTGCCAGCCAGGTGCTTTTTTTCCTGTGAGTTGCACTAGGTACCTATAAATTTAGTGGCCAAAATGTCCAAGGAAAGGTACACTAGTGAAGAGGCCTACAGGATTCTGAGTATGTCAGATGAGAGTGAAGGGGAAGCCTCACTGACACAATCAGGGTCAGATAACCAACCTGTAGACAGCAGCGGCACCCTGCCAGATAGCTTAGATGAGTGAGTAGAGGTGCCTGCTAAGGTCAGGTGTACCTGACCCCTTTCCCAGGTTGCTGAGGTGTTACAATTGCATGATTCTCATATGCAGCAGAGTGCCAGTACCGCTCTACCTTTTGGTGAACTGGCAAGCACCAGTGGCCTAGTACATTCTGGTCTTATACATGCCAGCACTGCAGTAACACTTGGTGACGTGGCGAGTCCCATAAGTGCAGTGGCAAGTACAAGTAGTGTTCCGCAGCCACCAAAAATTCGAACACAGGCCTGTAGAGCCCATAGTGTCCTTCTGGATGTGCTTGTAAATCCTGATTGGCAGCCCACATATTCTGCAGCACCATACTTCCCCTATTCACTGCCCAATCGGGAATTCAAGTGGAAACAGCAAATTTAACTACTCCCCCTGATTTTTGGAGCTGTATGGATTGATGGTGGATCAAAGCACTTTATATGCACATCAATTTATCAACGCCAATTCAAATTCAAACCTTGCCAGACCATTCAGATGTGCAGCCTATTACGGTTTTCAAATTTAAAATTTTTTTTTTGGGCCTAACCCTCAACATGGGCATTACTGGAAAAAAAAAAAAAAAAAAAGAATTGCGGTTGTATTGGTCCATAGACCCAATTCATCATCTGCTCTTGTTCTCTGCCATGCCAGGCATAGATATGAGAATATATTGCGATTTATGCATTTCATTGACAATACACTCAGATGTTTATACTCCCCAGCAAAACATCTGTGTTGATGAGTCCCTCAGTAATTTTTCTGGCCGCCTTGCATTCAAACAATTTCTCCCCAGCAAGCATGCCAGATATGGGGTCAAGATGTATAAGACCTGTGAGAGGACAACAAGCTATACCTTTTTGGATTTACGAGGGAAAACATAGTCATGTGGAGCCCCCCGATGCCCAGACTACATGGGGAGCAGTGGACAGATATATTGGGACTTGTTGTCACCCTTTTTCCATATGGGGTACTACTTATACGCTGAAATTTAGACATTTATACAATCTTGGAATTGACACAAGTGGCACCATGTAACCTAATTGCTGGGGCTTTCCCCAATGGCTTGTAAATACCCATCTTAGAAAGGGGGAAAAAGTCTGCTTGAAAAATGATGAATTGCTCGCAGTAAAGTGGAAGGACAAACAGTATTTTTTCATTCTGTCTTCCATTCATGCAGACATAATCATTCAAATTTCCATGGCAGCTGTTGTTGAGAATTTTTTTTTTTTTTTTACACAAAGTTGTCAAGTAAATGATATATTGCACATGCCATGGGTATATGTATACAAAATCTTTTAAAGGGCTTTATTTCTTCATTACACTTCCTGACTATCACAGTTTTGGAAGCTCTGAATGCCAGAGTAGTACAAATCCCCAGTGACTTCTTTTTGGAAAGTATACACCCCAAGCAATTTGATAAGAGGCATGGTGAGTATTTTGCAGATCTCGTTGCCACAAGTTTTTGGCAAATGAAGAAAGAAAACAAAAATATTTTTTCTTTATATTTCGAAACCTTATCAGAAAAAATTAGATCTGTAAAATACTCACCATGGCTCTTATCAAATTCCTTGGGGTGTCTACTTTCCAAAAAGGTGTCACTTGGGGGTTGGGTGCTATCCTGGCATTTCAGGGCCTCCAAAACTGTGATAGGTACTGAGGAAGTGAAATGAGGAATTTATGCACCTTCAGGCTTTCAAAGTGGTCATTGGATTTCGGGCTTCTGTATGTGGCTAGTAGCAGTAGCAGAATGTATTTTGGGGTGTAATTCCACATATACCCATGGCATGTGTGAGCAATATACCATTTAAATGAAAACTTATGAAAAAAGTTTGTCATTTTCCAAAAACTTGTGGAAAAAATAAATCTTCCATGGACTCATCATGCCTCTTAGAGAGCGTAGGGTGTTTACATTCTGAAAAGGGGTCATCTGGGGGCGTCTGTACTGCCCTGGCATTTTAGCACCTCAAGAAATGCGATAGGCAGTCAGAAAGTAAAAGCTGTGTAAATTCCAGTATCTATACCATAGTTTGTAGTCATTATAACTTACACACAATTTGTTTTACCAAAGACATGTAGCAAAAAATATTTTCCATTTTGTCATACATTTAGACCAAAATTTCGTTTTTTTTGTTTAGATTTTCGGTCTTTTTTTGTTTATAGTGTAAAAAATAAAAATCCCACATCAAATACCACCAAAAGAAAGCTCTATTTGTGTGAAAAAAGGACATACATTTTGTTTGAATGACTGCAGTTATCAGTTGAAAATAAATAGCAAATAGCAAAAAATGGCCTGGTCAGGAAGGGGGGTAAATCTTCCAGAGGGCAAGTGAGTAAATAAAATGTTTTCACAATTCTCAATTTGAACATACTGTCACCACTGCAGTATACCGTCATCATAACTGGTGTGCTGGTGATCAGGGATACTGACTGCTGACAGTATGGTAAAAAAAATAAAAAAAATTGTAAAATATCATTGGTGTCATTGGGCCCCATTGTTGGTGTCATTGGGAGGAATTGTGTGCCATCCTTGGTATCATTGAGAGGAACTGTGTCCCTTCATTCGTGTCAGTGTGGGGATTATGTTCCATTGTTGGCATCAGTGGAGACCACTGAAATAGAGCTTTCTATTGGTGGTATTTGATCACCACTGTTTTTTTTTTTTATTATTTTTGTTATATAAATCAAAAAAGACTGCAAATTTTGAAAAAAAAATTTTTTTTACTGTGTTATAAAACATTTCAATAAAAAAAATCAAGTATTTTCATAAATTTAGGCCAAAATGTAATCTGCTACATGTCTTTGGTAAAAAAAACAAACAACAACAATAAGTGTATATTGATTAGTTTGTGTGAAAAAGTTATAAACTATGGTATATATACTGGAATTTTTATTTATACTAGTACTGGCGGCAATCAGCAACATATAGCAGGACTGTCATAGTGTGGACAATCTGACATCACCAGTGACACTAATACAGTGATAATGCTGCACAAATTAAAAAAAAAAAGTGTTTTTTCAAACTCCAAGTGGTATTTTATGTATTTTGCACTGAGAAGAGGCTTCTGTCTAGCAACTCTGCCATAAAAACCAGATTGGTGGAGGGCTGCAGTGATTGTTATCCATCTGGAACTCAGTTCAAGAACTCCTGTGGGATGGGACACAGTCAGAGTGACCATTGGGTTCTTGGTCACCTCTCTTACGAAGGCCCTTCTCCCCTGATTGCCGAGTTTGGCCAGCTGTCCAGCTCTTGAAAAAGTCCTGGTTAAGCCAAACATCTTCCACTTAAGAATTATGGAGGCCACTGAGCTCTTGGGAACCTTCAGTGCAGCATAAATTTTTTTTAGCCTTTCCCAGATCTGCATATTGCAATAATCCTGTCTCTGGGCTTTGCAGGCAGTTAGTTTGACCTCATGGCTTTTGCTCTGATACAGTATGCATTGTCAGCTGTGAGGTCTTTAATAGAGAGGTGTGTGCCTTGCAATAATCCTGTCCAATCAATTTAATTTACCATGGACTCCGATCAAGGTGTAGAAACATCTCAGCAACAATTAACCTCCCAAGCGGTCTGATTATGTCCATATTTCTGTGCTCAAAGCGGTACATTTTTTTGCATGGAAATATGTATTATTTTTATTGTATATTTATTGTAGGCCTGTAATTGTTAGGAATAACTCACTGAAATCTGTCTGAACAAGAGTCTAGTAAACATCCCGGGTATGTTAAAATTTGAAACAAGAAATCATAAATTATAATTTAATAATCATAAAAAATAATAATAAAATAATACATTTAATTTAATAATATAATCAAACCAAAAACACTGAAATTTGAAATATAGCGCCGAGTTCACACATCACTGAGCAAAGTCGCAAAATCTTTTTCAGTGTCTGATGACGAATTTCCCCACGAATCATTACTACTCAATTCTGCAAGTAGTTCTAATTTACTATCACTGTTCTCTAGCTGGTCTAAAACCGCTTTTGACCTAAAGGGACGCTTTTTGGACACCATGGGCGTTTCTCAGTTTCCAGGCAGAAAGAACAGTAAAAATGCAGGCAGGGCAAAGCACTCGGGACAAAATGTATGTGAAATGGTTTGATACAGTAATGTTTTACTAAGTGATTTTAGTGTATTTAGTGAATGTCACTTTTTGTCATTTTTAAATTTCCCGCTGTTCCCTCCCCGTACGCCCTGACGTCACAGGGGACGGAACCCAGAAGACAGATGCCGGCATTACAGGGGACACTGCAGGAGGGACATCGCGGGAGCGCAGGACAAGGTAAGAGAAGAACAGATCCCGAAGCAGCGCCGCATGGTAAGCCCGAGTGTAGCTCGGGGTTACCGCTTGTGGTACTGAAACTTTACCCCGAGCTACACTCGGGAATACCGCCAGGGAGGTTAAGAGAAATGGGAGGCACCTGACCTAAATTTCAAGTGTTGTTGCAAAGGGTCCGAATGTTTATGCCAATGTGGTATTTAAATTTTTCCTTTTTCAAACATTTCTAAAATTGTTTTCATTTTGTCATTATGGAGTACTGAATGTAGATTAAAGAGAAAAAAATGAATTTCAACAACTGCAGTATCAGGCTGTAACATTACAAAAATGAAAAGAGTGAAGGGGTTCTGAATACTTTATGAATGCACTGTATACATTGACCAAGCAGAAGTATACAGAACACAGAAATAATCAGAAAAAAAACTAATGCTTTCAAGATAAGGTCAACAATGGCACCCTCTGTGATTTCCCTTTGTGTATCTTTTCTGCCAACATCATTGCAGTCCTACTTGTTTCAGTGAACCAAAGCTCATATTTTACTCAGTTCATACATCCTGAGTGTGATACTCTTCCTGCTGTAGTCACACAATCAGTCCATGTATTATAAAAGGAGAAACACTGCTGGGAGCAGCACTATGCCAATCATATCAACAGGGAATGAACAGTGTACAGAATACCCTTATACAGGGAACAATGCTTCTGAAAATCATGACTAATTGCAGACCAAATTATGTATTTTTTTTAAAACACTGAATTACAGAAGGCTTGTTTAGCAATTATATTTGAACTATGTTTAGCAAAAGTGGCGTTACCCATTAACCACGTACTGGTCCATAACAGGGGTTGGTAAACTGAAGTCAGGACCACTCATTCTACATAGTGATGTGGGGTACAGCTACAAATTTCCAAGAGGACATCCTCTGTTATCCCCATACAAACTGTAGTCTTTTAACCCTAAAGCATACAGATACTTGAATGTGAAAAGAAAGATTAGAATGATGTATGGCTGTGAAGAGAGGAAGAGCAAATTGGTCATCTGACCTGTGTATGATTCCCATTAAGATATATTGTTATTTTAACCAGCAGGGTCTCCTAAGCAGTCCTCTCAACCCCTAAAACCATCTCGAGTTGCCAAAGGGTTCAAACAGAACTGGGAGCTTTCCTTACCTGCAATGCCAGCCCCTTCATGCTTTGCAAGTATAGCTGCACCACCGACGATGAAGTAATTAGATACAATCCAATAGCCTTCCCAAATCTTTAATCTGTGTAACGTACAATGGGTACTGCACAGAAAGCACAGAGGCCTAAAACAACACACTAACACACATACAAGCAAAATAGTATTTATACACACACCAAAATAATACAAAAAATGAAAACCAGGGAGCAGCAGACAGACATTTGGAAGAGTTCAGTCTTGTGCAAGTCTCCATGTCTTCATTTACTATTGTCTCTATAAATAAAATATTATATACTGTAGAAAGCTGACAGTCAAGATTATACTCCTGGCAGGAATATGAGAAATGTAAGGCTACTGGAGCTTCTAGGAAATGCAGCAAAGGTGAAATACCTTTCTGTCTGGGCTTGAGAAGAAAGTGCAGGATCCATGACGAGGAGACAAGCTGTGGTTAACCTTGTAGTGCCAGCAACATCTGCACACGCACACATTTACCAGTTACAGGAATGAAATCTGTACGTTATGGTAACCTCTGGTTTTCATTTATTGTATTTTACTAACATTGTAAACGTATTATTTATTTTTGGTTATTTGAGACTAAGATGTTGAATCAAAGGATACAACTTCTCAAAGGTGAAACTGACATAGGTGGAGGTTATTAGGCCTCCAGAAGCAATGGAGACAATAAACAATAGCAGATGCAAACTGGTTTGGAATAAGTATTTATACATACACAGCTATCTCAGAGTTAGCTGGCCCCCAACCCCATTTAGAAGCTGAATTGAACTATTGCTTTTGAAAAATAAACACAAACTAACATGTTAACACGCTGTATCTAACAGGTAACAATGAGCTGAATTTCTTTTTATTAACTCCTTCCTGGCGGAATCTTGGAGCAATCCCACAGTTCTGGATAACATATTATTACAGTCATAATGAATTATTCTGCGGTGTTATTTCCACGTGGCAAAGATCCAAATATCCATCGTCAGGGAAGGCAAGAGGTTTTCAAAAAGTCTAACAAAGAGCAAAAAAACATGAGGAAATATATAGGATATGATTGTCAAGTCTACATGGAAAGTATGGGACAATGAGGGTGACTCAAGAATATATTGCACTTATGCAAATGACAATTACATTATAGTTGGTCCTTTAATTTAATTGCTTTGTACAGAACGCCTGAAACAAAAAGCTACTTATTTTTTTTTTTTGTGTGTTTTTTTTTTAATTATTCATTAAAAACCCAGAGGATCGCCCCCACCCGAGACATTTTCTACATAAATAAATAACTTTCACTTTTATATAACCACTTTTCTGAACATTTACATTTGTTTGTTATACAGTATCTACACACAATAGCTTATCCCCCGCACATTACAATAAATTTACATACATTTCCTCCCTTTGTGCATTTTCTCATTGCTCAGCATTCACTATTTTAAAGGCCATATCTATAACTGTTCGATCAGTTGTTCCCCAAAGGTTTCAAGCTAGCCCAATACAGAAGACCCTCTGTTTAGCAGTTCATGCATTGGGGTATTTCTAATCCCTGCTATACTGACCTATTCACACCTCAGACAGAGAATTTACAAAATGTAATGTGTATATGTGCTTTATACTGTAACTGTCAAAAGTCAATCACACATTTTACCTTGGACTGGCGATTTTCACACTTGCAGACTTTCAAAAGTTATAATCCAATGGCCAGCCAATTCTTACATTTAATACATAAGCATAAAGATACTCTGTACAAAGGGGAAAAAGACACCAAAAATATTTTGGACAATTATCAGTGGGATCAAAGCTATAGGTCTATTACAATGTGCAATGTAATCTGTGTGTGTCTAGTATCTGATCATTCAGATATAAGATGCACATGACACAGGCTTTCAGTGGAGAAGGGACTCTAACTTATACAGGGTGAGCAGTGCAATTCTGCTGTCACTCAAGCAGGCTTAAAGGTGCAGATCACTCTGTATATAGAGTACAGTTATATGAAACTGCCATTAGAACGCATTCCCCGAAATGCTAGGGCAGCAGAGACTTGCTGGGCAGAGTAAACATCAATATAGGAAGAGTATTTCTACATATTCTAAATCTAACATATCACAAACGTTCAATCATCTGCTTTTTTGGCTTTCTGTTCACCTGTAATGGTGACAATCAGGGAGATTTCACAGTGCTAGATAAATACAGTATTATACTGATCTGCTAACATTGTGTGCTGCATGTGATCTCTTTAAATAAATTAGTCTTGTTTAATGTGTACCAGCCTTTGTGGGAGAGGAATACAAATATATCCAGGCAACTATTCATAGGTATTGTTAGCATGGCAAATGTAAGGGCTAGGCAAATTAAATCTTTCTGCTTATGCCATGCCACGGGGTGTATGACTTTTTATTTTTTTGGCACGCCTGCTTAAACTTGGTACTGGGGAAAAAAAACACAGCACAAAAATAGTTCTACCTATCCTCTGGCTTAGCAATAATTAAATTACCATGCACTACGGGACAAGGATATGTAGCTACATGAGATGGTAACAGATCTCCAATCTAAAAATTATCAGTGCAAAGAAAACAATGAGGTCATACAGTTGAGCAACTACACGCGAAAAGCAGCAGACTGGACATGTATAGAATTAAAATTAAGAAATTCGGATACAAAAAGATTTCAGGGTTATGGGTTTCATTTGTCCTCTGATCACCAAAACCCCAGGTAACAGTACCTGTGCAGTGCTTTCATGTCCATTTCTAAATGTGTCCTTTACATGACCAGCTCACAAGAATAACGGTTGAAATGAGCAAGGCAGACGGTCCGTAGTCTTGGAACATTTTATGAAAAACATCTTCCGTTTTTTCCAAAAAAAAAAAAAAAAAAGTGGGAAAATTGTTTGTGTTGATGTTTCCATTTGTTGTGCCTTGGTTTAAGGAACGGAGAGCGGAGAAAGGTGTGAATGAAACTACTAGTGGTTTACAACTGGTTCCGCGGAGGCTGCCTCTTTTTGTGGCGATACTTAATGGGAAATGAGTGTTATGTACAAAATAAGAGCTAAAATATCTATTTAAATGGGCATGTGCTGTGCATTCTTCTCAGTAACCCTTCAGAGATGGCTAAGAAGATAAAGGAGGCACATATATTTACATTGGTAAGTCTATGAACCTGCTTAAAAAATAATAATAAAAATAAATAAAAACATTGACTACTTATGAATTTTACTTGTCCCCTTGTGTGGTTCTGTCACAATGATCTTCTGGGCATTGCTACCCTTTTTAAGGCTTGCAGTTCAACCCTTCTTGTCATCAGCGTTGCTAACGTTGTTATATAGTAGCACCATTATGTCAACTCTGTCTCAACAAAGTTGCACCTCTGTCCCTTTTTTTGCCCCCCTCCCTTTAAAGTGGCAAGAGCCAAGCACAAGAATTAGTTCAGGAGGTATGGGAGCTCATTTCTGACTTAAAACGCCAGAATCCAGCTTGGTGGTGGCCGCACTCCTCCCCCAGCATCCTGCTGCAATGCTCATACTTCTTTGGCTACGTTCCCTTTCCCGATCGCGGTCACTCTCCGACTGACTTTGCGTTCGCTCTGGTTTGTGGTTGCCGCTAGTTGTGGGCTGCGATGAGATGGTACGTAGTAAATGATTCCGCTTTCTCAGGAAATCTGACTGACCGGGAAGACAAAAGCTTCCTTTCCGTAATGCTATTCTGTTGGTGTTCTTGGCAGGTCGAGATCGGTGGCTGTATTCCAGTTGTGCAAGGTGAGAAGCATAGCCTTCGGTGATGAACTGCAGGAAGAAACATTCACAGATGTTATAAAGCAATTATAGAAACAAATCAGAAAGAGAACCATGTCAGTTCCTAAACTAACAGTACATGTCCCTGTAGCACAGTGAAGCAGTCAGTCGCATGACAAAAGTGTGTGAAAGGTCGACTCTGTATAGTCCATAGAAAAGTAAAG